ACAAATGAAACTTTACAAATGTAATAATGATACTGGTATGTGCACTTCATTCGGATTCAAAGCAGAGAATCTAATTGATGCAGTGACAAGCCTAATTGCGTGGTGGAATGGACTAACGTTTCTGTTTAATAAACTTATTTTTAAGTGGCATCAGAGATTAATGAAAATGCATCATTCAAGATATAGATTGATTCCATTGCGATATCAAATAAAAATTAGCCGATGCTTTAGTTGGTTTTGGGCATTTGGATTCGTTGCTTACACACTTCAGGATATTTGGCAGTCGTTTTCCTCATATTGGTTTGCTTTGTTGATGTCCTGGCTACTCATGTGGTGTATGGCAGCAAGTGCTGCGGCTGAGTTTATTGAAACATGGATGACGCTTGATCTCGAGAAGCAACGTCTAGTGATTGGTGAAAAACAATTGAATGCCACTCGACCTGTTGTTATTCTTGAAGAAGCAGAGCCCGAAAGTATCTTGAAGAGGTTTATTCGTCAAACAGAATCGATATCGTCAATGTTTGTTCAACACCGAACATCGACTAAATCAACGATACCAACCCGTAGCTATTCGAAATTCTAATATGCTATACCCGAGATGACCATACATAATTTCATCTGAAAATAAAAAGCTGACTGTAAAAAGATTCAGATATGATATTGTAATGGACAAAGGTAGCTCGTTCAATAACTGTCGTTCCAGTGATACAGATTGTAAGGTGAACTTTGAGTTCTCCTAACGAGAGTCGGTCCGTACTTTGATTTGTTTTGTAACACGAAATATTTGTCATGTACGTCACAATGGTTTCATCATAGAAAGATGGGAAATTAAAATGTTGTTGGCATACGACGTACCCCTTGATTAGATAATCGTAACAATATTTTTTCCTTAATATAGAATTCTTTTCAATATTCAGGAATGAAAAAAACATATTTTTCTTTTTCATACACTAGTTTCACAATTAATTCATCGCAACAAAAAAAAATTCGAATCACGTATAAGGAAATATAATTAGATTAAAGTTCAATGAAAACTGAAACCGAGATATTAATCACAATGGAATTTTAAAAGATATTCCAAAAATTACTGCTATCAAGTTACTGCAACTGTGTCGATTATATGTAGTTGGACGGGCAACATACAATGATGAGTGAATGATTCACAGATATATCACGATACATTTTGACTACAACAGATTTTCCTTTAGTGTGTATCATCCAATTGCATTTGAGATGTCATGTATATAATGGGTACTAGGACAATTCGTCGCCGGACATTTCGTCGCATGACTATAATCCAATTATATGTTCGTATGTCGCTGTCCGTTGCGTAAATGGATCATGTTATTCGGTGAAACACGAATGTTGAATACGATTTAAATCACTGATGATAGGCCGAGCAATGAATTTAATTTCTAAATTCAAGCCGTGGAGACTGCTCTAGCTTGGAATCGAGAAAATTAAAATTTTACAGCATGATTTTAATATAATGATTTGCCGACGAGACTGTCAAAGCACAGGTGAGACTCGTAGTCACTTCGATACGGAATACAATATACCTTAAAATTTGTTTGTTTCGCGTTGAACGCTTGAAGCAATGTCGAGCAAAGGATAGAGTTAAAAGCTAAGCTAGACTCATTCCCCAAACTCAGGCGACTAAAAACTAACCGAATTTATTGCGATATTAACCTCGTTTTCACTTATCCGCATTTACTGGCTTCACAATTCTGAAAAAAGTTGCTCAGGATACGAAAGTTCAGATTTTATTGGAATAAAAGAAATGAATAAGTGACCTTCTGATTCTATAGATTAACCGAACGATGTTGAACCACTGCTTAAAAATTCAATTCTTCTCTATCCCAAGCTAGAGCGCTCTCCACGGCTTGAATTTAGAAATTAAATTCATTGCTCGGCCTATCATCAGTGATTTAAATCGTATTCAACATTCGTCTTTCGCCGAATAACGTGACCCATTTCCGCAACGGACAACGACATAAGAACATATAATTCGATTATAGGGTGTGGGTGGGCGGGGGTGCGGGTGGGGGTGTGGGTGGGTGGGGGTGTGGGTGGGTGGGTGTGTGTGTAGGTGGGTGTGGGTGTGGGTGGGTGTGGCTGTGGGTGGGTGTGGGTGTAGGTGTGGATATGGATTCGTGAATACGACGCAGACATCCACACTCCCACCCACACCAACACCCACACCCACCCACACTCACCTACACCCCACTCACACTCACACACCCACGCCCCACAAACACCCACCCACACGCACATCCACACCCTATGTTCCCGTAATACCTGTCAGGATTCACTCAACAGATAGTTCCAAGAAAACAAATGATAATTCCATGTAGATCTCGATGAGAGGTATCGAATGGATATCTTTTCAAGTCGATTCGATGCTCCCATCACTCAGAAACCATCCAATAGGAGTCCCAATACCCGATTCTTTTTGCAAAAGCTGGACCAGATTTGCTTTCCTGGCGGGTGTGGGTGCGCGTGTTCTAAAAGAGATACACACACCCACACCCATACTCACACCCCACATCTATCAATGACTTCTAGCATTTTTCACTGATGTTTTCTGATGTCCAAGTACCAACATTATATAGGAAAATTGTCTAGTTTTCGTCTTTATAACTACTCATGGAATATTGCTAATTTCTTTGAATGTAGCATGCTTTACCATAACTTTCAATTTGAGAGTTGTCCGCAAAATTTCGAAGTGGAAAAGACATAGTTTTGGGTGATAGCTATCATGATCACTGTCTAAAATAAATTTTTTGTCATACGTGCTCTTACGGAAGTCTTGATCCATTCTACGAATGTCTGATCACTTATGCAAAAGGTTCTGTACATCGTAATATGTTTTCAATAAACATATCTAGATGAGAAATGCATTTCATACTTTGGTTTCAGCACTAGTATTATTTACCAAGTGAACATGAAAGTTCTGAATTGAATAGTAAACAGGTAAATGAACAGAAAAACAACTTAACCATGCGAAATCTGCATGTTTTATCTTTCAAAATCCATTTGAAATCTTTTGATGTATGAAATCAAATCGATTGTTCTCTTTAATGTCATCACATCGAGTTCCAAAATCAAAATCAAACATATTATGCGAAAAACCTATGGTAACAGCTAAATACAAATTTCTATATCAAACGCTATATTTCTTATTTATTTAAAATTAATCATTATTATATACATAAAGCAAAAAACAAGTCCTAAACAACTAAATTTTTACCACCATAAACACAAATCACAATTAATAAATTTACTGCAATAATCATGAAGTAAATTTTCTGATTTGATTAAAACATTTAATTTTTTTAAATATATTTTTGGTATTCGTAAAATACATAAAAATAATAAATGTTGTGTTTTATCATTAGTTTTTAATAATAAAAATCGAACTATTGATTGTATTTCTTTTTTATTCATTCCAATTTTAAGATATTCCAATTGTGGAAATAAATTCACAATCAACTGAATTTCATTCAATGAACACCAAACACCAAAATTGACAATTTTTATTTTATTTGTATTTGATACATATTGAAAAACTTCATTTTCTTTAATTACATTTAAATTAATGTCGCTGAAAAATAAATGATCCAATTTTAATGCATATAAATTCGGTGTCATATATAACAATTGAAAAATTTCAATGAATGAAAACTTATAACATTCAATAACTAACTTTGTAAGTTGTTTTAAAGGAATCATACGATGAAGAATTGTTGGAATTGAATCACCTGATGTTTCAAAACGATGTTTAATAGTTAAGTAATTAACATTTGGAAAATAACTTAGATAAGTATCTTTTATTTCTGTACTACAAATATAAAGATGTTTAACTGAATCATAATTTTCTTTTTGTATTTGTGAACAAATGGGTTCATTTAATTCCCAATAATATACATAATCTTTTCGTCTAAAATAGAAAAAGAAATTTCCATCAACAACTGAGAATTTCTATTTACCGATACGGAGCAGTTGAATACAGAATTACATTATCAGGTTGATCTTTCGAAATATGTTGATGTGTAAAAAACCATCTATTTTCAATCCAAAACGAAGAATTAAATTCATTAATAATATCATGATATATTAAAGTATTGGTTTTTACAGAACCTTCATGATTTATATCAAAGATACGTAAATATGGCATATATGTTACTATTAATTTTTGCCATTGTTTAGCATTTAAATATGCTCCATCATAATATGTTGTAAGATGTAAAGTTTGAACATAATGAAAAACTTCTGTAATAATTTTTTTAAATCTTGTGAACTCAATATGATCAATATGAAGAGAAACATATTTCAAATATTTTAATTGTATAAGAGATAATTCCTCTTCTTCTTCTTCTGTATCAAAACGTTGTTGAACAAGACAATCAATTGATAAATGTTGAAGTTTAGGAAGACAATATAGTAAATGACCAAACGAATCAAATGGAAAACGACCATTGATTATCAACGATTGCATCGGACTATAATCATCTTCAATAAGTATAGTAAATAATGGTTCTTCATAATTTTTTGTTTGATATTCAATTTTACAATATTTTAATTTCGATAATAAAAATATACGAGCAAAAATCAAAGTTAAGGATTCAATATAATCACTGATCGAAATCGTTAACGAATAAAATTGATGTAGATGTACTAAATTATCCAAAATTTTATAAAGATGCTTGATTTGTATATTTTCAAGAACTAATGTTTCAAGACGAATGAAATTCAAAACTAATCGTGGACGGGAGAAAATGATTCCAACAGCAAATGGATTTAATAAACGAAGAAAATTAATTCGATTTTGATTCGGCATAAGAATATTTCGATAATAATCTTCGAAATTTGATTTTGACATTGTTGAAAAATTGATTTTAGTCAAAACATTTGAATGAATAGCTAAATCTTGAAATCGTTTATTAAGATTGTAAAACCCTTTGTAAATATCATATACATCAACATATTCAAATATATCATAGAGAATTTCATCAGTTAAATCTTCAAGACAATATCTAAATAAGAGTAAAGAATAATTATTTATATGATGAAAGAGATATTTCTGACTTATTTGAATTCATTGTTGATACTGAAATAATGAAAAGGAGAAAAAAAAGATTTAACAGATTTTAAAATGAAATATTACTTTGATTTTCTGATTTTCGTTTTTTGTGACTATTTGAAATTTGAACCAATTCGTTGTCACGCCGTTTTGTCTGTTGCATGTTTAAGATAACTAAATAACGATCATACTGACCGAGGACGAACACATACACACGTGTGATAATAAATACATTGTCTCTTTTTCCTCTCTAAACACAATAGATACCAAGAACTGTACAATTAAGAAGAAATAATTTCAAAAGCTTTTCGGAAAAAAATAGTTACAAAATAGAGAACAATCGAATTTTCTTTTATTTTAATTACCATGCTTTGTGTTTTTGATAATCCAACTTAGACAAATCACGATTGATTTTGCTTATTCGATGATCATTGATTGAAGTTTCTTGATATACTAAATTCTTTCTCAGATCAATATTTCTTTTCAGAATACACGTATATGAGAAGCCAAAATATACAACTTACAAGACTTGAATCGTTTTTAATTTGTAGTATATTGTGAACAAAGTCGAAGCTGTTAGTGCACTTTCAAAATTAGTCGAATAAATAAATAAGTCAAAACGATAATTGTTATTTTTTGTTGAATCTATATTCTGTTTGTATTGATCAAATTGAACATTTTTCATTTCAAACTATTTCTTTGTCTCAATTTATCGGATTTATTTAATATTTTTTAGAGTATTATTTGTACATCCCAAATGAAAGCTTTTTTCTTTAACAGACGTTCATGTATTTCTTGTTTCTTTTTCTTACTGAATTTTGATTAGTTAGTATTATAGTTTTAATCATATTTAATATACTTCTTACACATATTTATTATTTCCTCATACGATCTTAACAATCTTTTATGCACCTCGATGTATTCAGTTATATCCGAATAGACTATATATGAAAGTTAAAAAATAATTTAATCATGTTTTTTTTTGTTAGCCATGTCTGATTCATGTAAAATTAGTATACTATCCTTGATAACAGTCGTATAATCTGTTATCTTTCAAAAATGCGAGTCATTTGTGTGTTCACAAAGATGTCTAGAGTCCTTCAGAATCTTTTGAAGCCATCTATGGTTACTAAGGCCTGTATTGAAAGTGCTTATGGGAAAGGACGCGACGCAGCTATTTTTCGAATTCTTTTCCTTATATTTGGTCTTGATAATTATTAAAACTAATACGTTCCGTAAACTTCAACTTATCAGGGTTTTATGTATTATTCTTTGTCAGATCATCTAATAAACGTTCATTTAATCTCAATGATAGCTTTCGATTTGCAGCAGTTATTTGTTCATCAAAATATTCACTTTTCAAATGTATTATTACTATGTAAAAATTTTCTTTGACAGAACCTACTTTGAGAAATACGAAGTCTAACTGTTTTTCTTTCCGAGGGTATAAAACAAGGATATAAAATACATTCTAAGCAAGTAAATTTTCTAATGTAATCAAATTGTGTACTTCTTATAACCAATTTTGTGAAAAACTTGAAAGATATAAATAAAATAAATTTTTGTGTTTTATTATGAATTCTTGATAATAAATATCGAATTATTGGTTTCATGTCTGTTTCTATTATCTCAGTTTTAAAATATTTTAATTTCGAAAATACATAAACAATAAATTGAATTTCATTCACTGATTGTGTTTAATGATATTTGAATTAATTGCATGCAAAGTATCTTCACAAAATTCTAACACGTATAAATTTGGTATTAAGCGTAATAAATTAAAAATTTCTTCGAATGACAAACAATAAGTTTTAACAATTAATTTTCTAAGCAGTCTTAAAGGAATGACACGATTAAGATTTATTATGAATGAATCATCATCTGATTTTTTTATCATAAACTTAAATAGTCAATTGATTAACATTTGAAAAATAATTTCGACAATTTGGTTTTATTTGTAATATTAAGATGTGTGACTGAATTTAAATTCTCTTGACAATGCAAACCAAATTTTTCATCTATTTCAATATGATACATATAATCTTTTCTTCTAAATAAAAATGAAATAGAGCATAATCTATGATGAAAAATAGATAATTGCTTTCGACGGAAAATCTTCTCTTTTCACTGAATGATTTTTCTACTTTCGAACTGTAATAAACTTTATTTTAAAACAATTATACGCTTTGAAGCAAGATTCGACATCACTCTGCTCTCCGTTTCGTATCATAGATTAATTTCTATTTACCGAAATGGACCAGTCTAATAGACAAATCCTCTACATAGGCCACCGTCTTCGTTCACATTGATGTGCAAAAGACCATTTATTTTTCATCCAAAACGAAAAATTATTTCTTAGAAAATCTTGACAATGAATATCAAATACATGTGAATATGGCATGTGAGATACGATTAATTGTTGTCATTGTTTAGCAACTAAATATGCTTCATCATAAAACATCGTAAAGCGTAAAACTTGAAAATAATGAAAAAATTCTTTGATAATTTTCTTAAATATATCAAAGCATACGTGGTCATGTTTAATACAAATATTTTGTAAATGTTTTAATTGAGTATGAGATAATTGGTGCCCTACGTGACAATTACTACGTATATTAAGAGAATTAATAGATAAGTGTTGAAGTTAAGGAAGAAAACATAATAAATTATGAAATGCGTTAAATGAAAAAGGACCATTTATCATTAAAAATACGTGCAGCAAAAGAAACAGTTAATGAATGAAGATTAGGTAATGGTCTTCGAAATTTAATTTTGACATTATTAAAATATTGATTTTAGTTAAAATATTTGAATTAATAGCTAAATTATGTAACTGTTTATTAAGATTGTAAAGTCCTTTAAAAATATCATATAGATCAAGATATTACAATATCTCGTAAAAAAATATTCATTTGTTAAATCTTCCACAGCATACCTGAATAACAGTAAAGGATAATTGCTTCGATGACTTTTTTAAATAGATCCGACTTATTTGAATTGATTGTTGTTTGAAAAATATTGACATAAAATAGTACGCATATTTTCTAATTGTCGTTTTTTAATAGTGTGTCGGTCCTTTTCTACATCGTTCCCTTGCTGTTGCGTTTGTTTCATACTTAAGATAAATTAAGAACGGTGATATTGATTGAGAAAGAACTGTTTTCGAATGTCGGTGAAAACATATACACGTACAATAGCAAACATGCACACCTTCCAGTGCAACACCGATAAATGCCAACAGTAAGTCAAAAGAGATTTATCCTTTTGAGATTTCCCGCATCTCAATGGAATCTAATTGATACGTAAAATTTGAGCAAAACAATAATTTGACAGTTGAGAATTTTCTTTCATGAGTCAAATAGTCTCCATGTGACTTAGAATAGAGTTTTATGTCTAACTGAAGCATATGATGTCTTATATGACTCTTCCAATACAAAACGCATCTCTAGAAATCAAATAGGTATTAAGAGTTCAAATGCACGTATCAAGAAAATACTTTCTTCGAAGAAACCATGCCATGTTCATATATGTTGAGCAGTAAGCTGACAATAATACAAGCCATCTCTTGTGATGCGGATATTTGGGAAGAACTTACGCACACTCATCGCAGCTACTGTGTGTGTGCATGTTGATGTGAATGAATAGAAGAAGTACACTAACAACCACTCACACCCAAACTCGCATTCTCAAGATATTCGTACCCAAAGATCTTTACCACAATCTATACTTGTAATATTCATTGTGAATTTCTACTCGAAATTCTTGTTTCGTCATTGTCCATGACATATATTTAATAAATAATAAAGCTGATCTTGGCGCATCATTGATAGACATAGTTAGTTATTTGGTAAATATTTTGTGTAAAAGTTCGAAGAACATACTACTGTATGTTTCAAAGAAAACTGTAACACACCGTGTGAATCGTACAAGAGATATCTATGTTTTCTTATTCGATAGATTTCAAGAAAATCCTTCATCTATCATAGCTATTCAAGAAATCAAAAGAAAACATATCGCCAAGAAGAAAAATAATAGGATAAATTCTGAACATTTTTGATATTTTTTTTAATGAATGAAAATCTTCTAAAGAACAGTTTTAATACTTCTTATAATTTGTGAGGAAATTTCAACTTTTCTATTGTCTTCTATTACCATTTGTGGAAAACAATTGACAAGATTATTCTTCTCTTATTCCTTCATATTACACCTTTTTCTTGCTTTCTTTTTGTTTAGCTTCAGAGTTATGCAAGTATTTGTTGCATGGTGAAAAGTCATTGAAAATTGCTTAATCACCATCATCACATATCAACAAGAAGTCTAAATCAGTGAAACATCTTGTAAGCAAGATCTTGGCTCTTGTACCAAGATCTTAATATCTTGTGACAAGACCTTGGTCAAGATACAAGGCATAGAAATGTTAACAGATCTTGACTTGATTGTATCTGTTACGGATGATTTTGCTACTGCTTCGAGCTAGATTGTTCCGAATCATTTAAGAAAACATGATCTTCATTCAAGAGTGTTCATGAGGATGACGATTTTGAACGGTTTTCGAACTGACCATTAGTCTCTAATTTGGCTTCTTGTGTTTGCAGCAGCGATCTGATTCAAGATTTATATTCAGCGTCAAATTTTAAATTTTACTTCGGATTGACTATCTCGTTAATATTTAGAGTCATCCATAAGCGACTTTTAGTAATTATTTCTGAGCACGGATATTTCAGCTAAGCTCTTATAGATCTATATGTAAGATTTGTTAACATTTCTGTACCTTGTATCTTGGCTAAAATCTTGGTTCGAAAATGTTGCATTAGGGCGTACATCACATTGTCAAAACTTTCAATTGAAGGTAATCGGGGCATATTTGTCATTACTATTTATTGCAGAGTTATCATCATTTATTTTGCATCAGTGTTTTTGATATTCTAAATATGAATAACAAAGGTACAGCAGTATGATGCGAATTTTAATACAGAATTAGGCTTGCGGGAAAAGAATTGATAACAACCAATTGGATAGAGAACAAAATACTGAAATATCACAGACATCACAGTTTTTGCCGAAGGTTATTAAAATGATCTTCAATCTCTTTTGTTCCAGAATCATCAGGTTCAAGAGCATGATGAGTAATATTGCGAACTCGCTTAGCATATTCGATAGTTGTTTCATATTCACAAAGTTTATCTAATAATATTGAAATGCTATAAAAACCAGTAATCAATGATGGATCATCGAATGGAAGAGATTTTTTGTTCAAGATCAAGTACTTTTTCATTATATGATAGTGCAGCTGAATAGTCTTTCAATAATGCATATAATTCCCTAATAAACAGAAATACAAAATAAATTTTTTGTCGAGAGCATCTCATTGCAAAATCATACTAATTATTTGATGTGTGTAGACGGATTCTATAATATAGGATTTGTTCATATCGTTCAAGTACTTTATTTAAAAATAATAGATTTTATTTAATTTTTTTATATAATATGGGATTACAATTATCATCATTAAAAACAGAGACACCTATTTCTAATTTATTCATTTGTTCTTTTGTTAAAATATTTTGTTTACCATTGAAAACCATATTATCCGGCATCCTAAATGAATAAAATATCATTGCAATATTATAAATGAATGAATTTCTTTTCTCATAATTTTTCTTACATTTGAATAGTCATTGCAGGTCTTCTTCCTGGTGTCATATTGGCATTAGCACCATGAATTAGAAGACTACTATGAAATGAAGCACTTCCTGCTTTCATTGGTACAGCTACTGTTGGCATTTGTTTTAGCTCAGGATAAATAGCGAATATATCAGCCATATTTTTACCGATTTTTATCTCTGGAAATGTATTGTTTGATTCATAATAACGACGTTCTACAACCTAAACAAATCAACCTTGTTTTAATCTCTTCATAGAATCATACAAACGTGAATGAGGAAATAGGGTTCTAAATTTTCAAAGAAACTATACTCTAGCAAACATTGAACCTAAGCAAGATCAAAGAAAGAGTCTAAATAAAAATAAATGTAACTGAATTATTTTATTTACATATTAGATTTTTGAAAAAAATTCAATTAAGAATAAGTCTTACTTTATGTGATCCAGGCATAAAATACATACAACCATTTTCTAATGTTGAATCATCCAATGCAATCCAAACACTTATTGCATGCAAAGAAGTGAATGACCAATATGTAACATCAAAATGCCTTTATGAAGAGAAGAAAACATGAATATAAAAGTGTATAATAATTTTACCAGGAAGTAGGATTTGCAAATGGTTCTTTAATTAATGCTTGATCACACCAAATTCTAACACAATCAATGCCTTCTAATTCAGCGGCAATTTTACCAATAACATTTCCACTTTGTAGTAAGAGTTCTTTAACAGAATTATGTGTTTGCCATAAATTAATACGTTGCGTGAATACATTATCATAATAATCAAAATCAACATTGGTATGATCTTCTTCATTCACTGTAGGCAATTTATACTTTCTTTCTGCACGATCTTTTACTGCACCAAATATAATTGTTCGCCATTGTTCAAGTTGAGAAGGAGAAAGAAGATCAGGTACAACATGATAACCATTTTCACGATAAGAATTAATATCAGAAGCTGTGAGTGAAATTGAATTTGTAACTGGAAGAGTAAGAGATGGTGTCGGTGTTACTGTATAAGGCATTAAACGTTTTAATAAATATTTAGAAATAGTATTTTTTTTACTAAAGAATTTCGATCTTTTTAATCTTAAATAAGATAGAAACATATTTTAAAAGTAATAGTTTCTAAAATTTAAGAAATAACAACGAATACTACATGTTTAGAAATGTTTACAATAATATTTAATAGGATGTACAAATTTTTATCGAGGTAGACTAATTCAGGTGTTTATTCATATCTATCGTGCAGAGAACATCAGTTTATATAAATAATGATAAGAATGAAAGATAAAGAAAAGAGGCAAAAAATGAGTCAACCTTTAACAAAATAAAGGTACAGATAACGGCTTGCTGCGTTATCAACAAAGAGAATGTGGATGATGATAAGTGAGCAACCTACCAGATATTTTTGTATACGGAATATAATTTTAAAAGAAATGCTAATCGTAAATTTAACTTTATCATTGATATTATTCTGGCATACTGGAATTATAATCATGGCAAATTTCATATATCTGATCAGATATAAAGTTCCGACAAAAATTATCCGTACGGATGCTTCCTTTGATCGAACATAGACAAAATATCAATCTTTATAGCTACTTGAATGGGTTCACCTATTAGTACTCTTTTCACTTCATGCAAAAATAATGAAAGTACTTAATAGTTATTGTTTTGGATCGAAATAATTACATGAAGTTTTTGCAGATTTCAGTTAGCGAAAGTAAAACGTTGGACAAAATGAATATGATATTCACAATCAACATCAAAAACTAAGCCCTCTTACGTGTATGTCAAACGTTTTTGAAAAATTTTTTCATCGAAACGGTCTCATGTGGTCATTATCAGGGCTGACTGAAAAAGTGAAAATTCTGTGGATTCGAGTTTTTCTTGGAAACCTGCTCTCATGAACCGCTGTTGGCTCTCCAAGTGGTTGTATTATGTACACAGTCTAATTCTCTATTGACTGGTGCTCTATTCAAGCGTACATCGACCAGAAAATAAGGGTTTGACTCGAAGCGGTGTAGAGTGTGGATGTGGATTTGGATGGACTGAAGATTAACACAAATATCCACAACACACCTACACCCACACCCCACACCGGCACACCCCACACCCCACACCCACACACATCCCACACCCGACACACTTCAGTGACCATTGAGTTCCATCATATAAAAAACTTTTTGTAAAAGAAATATATTTATAATAGTACCATTGTTATTCGGACCGGGCCGGGCTCTAATAGAGTGGAAGTTGGGCCGGGTCGGACCATCAAAAATTGGCCTGTTTCAAGGCCTGGGTCCCATTACTGTAATTTACCGCTAAAAGCTGTTCGGTATTTAAGATATGGGTACTATGTGGAGCAGATGACATAAAGTTTTCAGCTAAAATAATAATTTTATCATTTTGTGAAAATATAATTTGTTCTTCTTTATCTGGATTTAAAACAATTCCAAAAAATCTTGTTTCATCATGTAAATATTTCATTAATCTATAACCAATTGCTAAACATTGATATTTTAATGTTTCTTGTAAAATTTGATAATAACTAATTGGTGTTTCTAGTGGAACGAACATTGATGCTAAACATAAATAAATCTCAGGACCATCAGCTGTTAATAAAACATCATAAACTTTTTTTATATTTTTATTTTCAGATAATTGTGAAATATATTTTGATATTAAATTTGGACTAACAATAAAATCATCGGCACATGTTGTATTTGCTAATTGACAATTACGTATATCATACATTTCTGCTACTATACTAAATGTTTTTTCATTATTTGATTTATCAATAATATTTTGTAAATATAATAAACAAATTAAACATTCAGCATCAGCTTCTTCAATTAAATTTTGTTGTTCACTTTCTTCATTTGCTAATAACATAACATAATCATAAGAAAATAAATTTAATTTTTCTAAATCAAACTTATTTGTTAAACTTCCAGAATGTACAAATATTTTTTGTTCTGTTAATTCATTAACTAATTGTTCATTTATAAATTGTGTTATTGTATCAGAATTTGTTAATATATGTAGTTCACTACCACGAGCAACATAAGTATCCAATTCTTTAGCAATCAATGGAGCTTTATTATTCCATCCGAGTAGAAGATTTTGTTCAATTCTTTTTGTTGCTCGTTTAGTCATAGGATTTGATAATAAAACTGTATTATGATTAATTAATGATGATGATGTTGATCCTGAATATGCATTATTAATACGTAACCAATAATCGGATGATAATATAATTTTATCATCATCTTCAGCAATAACAATAATTTGATCATCAATATTTATTATTGTATTTAATCGAGGAAATATTTTAACTGTTCCATCGGATAACATCAATCCAATTACTGAACATTTATTATATGAAAATACAGCATCATAAAATGTTCTACCAATAAGTGCACTTTCATGTTTAAAATAAATTTCATCATTTTGAAATGATAATAAAGTTGTTAATATTATACTTAAACCACTTTGTCGACATGATTGAGCTATAATACGTGCAATTATTTCATCGGCATAGACAAATAATGCTTCATCTCCGCCTAAAACAAAAAACAAAAATTTTATTTTTTACCATTAAACAGTTCTGCGAACAAAGCTAAGTTATTCGTTTTATTATTCATTTGACATTGGACAACAACTTATGTATTCGAGCGAAGTACTTATATAAGAACAAGATGAGTAAAACATGTAAAAAAAAATATTTCAATGTATAAAAACTAATAAAAACCTGCAATCATTGCCGCTTCTAAATTAATTCGTTCTTTTATTTCGGCTACAATATGAAAATTAATGTTATTTCGTCGTGGATTATTTCTAATTGCTAATATTGTTTTTATCATTCTAACATCAGGATTGTTTATTTCCGGTGCCAGTATAATTATTGATCGTGCTTGATTAAGACTCAATTTATTTAAACTATTGATCTAAAATTAATAAAATATAATGCAATGATTTATTTATGATATTTAGATATAGACAATAAAATAGAAAATTGAACAAAAAATTCTCTTCAGTATTCATTATTACGAAAGAGACACAGCAAACAATTATATGAGCGTTGTCCAAAAAAAAAGATTCGAATCAATGTTTTCTGGTTTTCGATTAGAATTTTTGGAAAAAATATTTTTTTAATTATTAGAGTACTTGGAAAATATTCTTTAAATGAATTTTTATAGTCTACAAGATGACCGAATAAGGAAGAAAAAATGGAAGTGCACACTGCAGTCGGAATATTATTATTTTTTCATTGTCATACTATTAGTAAAAGGGAGAGACAAAAAGAAGAGCATGTGCCAAAAACAAAACAATTTTTTGTATTTTTAACATACCGACATTGGATTACCATTTCTATAAATAATTCTTGTATTTCTTGAATTATTTATTTTATCTTTAATCATATATTGAACTTCACTATTATCTTTTGATGTCAAAATAACAATTGAAGGATTACGTTGATTTTCATTTGCAATAATTAATTCATTAATAATATCAAATATTTTTGGTGACCATCCTAAAATTACTAAACACAAAAAAGAAGAAAGAGAGACAAATTTTTTAAGTTTGAATATTTAATCAATTTAATTTATAAATTTTACTTGTATGATTCTTTTCAATAACTGTTGTACGTCCTTTTCTTAATTCATTTAATTTTTCATCCATAAAAGTTACAATTGTACCAATTAATACTGCAACAATAACAAGACCACAAAGTATAACAATTCCAGATATAATTCGATTTTTTAAACCTTCATCTTCTGCTGCTGCACATGGATCAAGTATACGTGTAAATGTTTGCCATAATGCATCTTCATAATCATCTGTTTCTTCAGTATAATAATAAATTATACTAAATATTAATATAATAAATACACTTATAATAGTTAATAATGGAATAATAAAAATTAAACCATGAGCAAATAGATTATCAAATTTATATTTTATATATGAACAAATATATTTTAATATTTTATTATCATTATTTGAACGAGATGTATTACCGTTTGTCGATGTTATTTGCATTTCTTTATTAGTTACATAATATTTCAAATAAATTAAACAAAAAAAAAAAATCTAAAATATTAAATAAAGTTTTATATTCTGACATCATTTTTTTTCGATTTATCATTTCTATCATATTTATAATATTATTCGAGTCATTTCTCATCTATGTCTTTTAATATTTGCAAATAATAAATATACCATCCGACAAAATTTTAAGAATATTGTTCCCAGACTGAGCATTACGGTAACCAGAAACGACTGTATACGGCCGTTCTCACTTTCAGCAAACCAAAACAAAGCTAAGGCATATGATAGCCATCAAGAAGTCTTTAAAGATCTCTTCTACACTCCTCCGTTTATACTCTCAGAAACTCCAGTCCAACCAGGTACAAAAAAAATATCGATACAGATCTTTAAAGATCGTTAAAGATATTTTCATTCAAGCACGGTACTTTAATCTCGAAAACGCCTACGGAAAAAGGTATTCTTCTATAAAAGAACTTTCTTTATCAAAAATATAAATTCAAGCACGAAAGATACCCTAACATCAGGTACTTCAAAGATAAATATTATTAAAGATCTTTTTTTTCTGAACATCGTAATTATCCCCAAAACCACCTTGAAAACCAGATATCATTCAAAAAAGGTTCCTATGTATGAAAGTAGATTTTTAAGTTTTAAAAATACCTCGGAATGAAGTATTTGAGTCAAAAAGCGATTTTTAAAGATGGGAAAGATCGTTTCTTTTATGAATAATACTGCTTAAAAATCGACTTTTCATACGTGTTACTTCTACCTATTCTTCAACTCGAAAGAGCGCGAACATGTGATACACCCCTATATATAGGGTGGGTTGAATCTCAAAAGACTAAAAAAGATGATTTTTCGATCAAATAATGCTGCTTAAAAATCGATTTTTCATACTTGTTACTGCTAGTTGTTTTGCAATTCAAATGAGCTCTAACACGTGGTGCACCCCTATGTATTTGGTAGGCAGAATCTCAAAAAGACTAAAAAAGATCATTTTTCTATTGAATAATATTGCTTAAAAATCGATTTTTCATACTTGTTACTGCTAGTCGTTTTGCAACTCAAATGAGCCCTAACACATGGTGCACCCGTATATGTAGGATAGGCAGAGTCTAGAAAAGAATGAAAAATCGCGATTGTTTGATGGTATTATCAATACCTGAAAACCGATTTTTATTCTAATAGTGGACAGTTTTAGTCTAACTTTTGTGCGTTTGTTACCTGTGTACTCAGTGTGAATATATTTTTTTATGTGTGCTATTTGTGATATTGTTTGTAAGATGGGTGTCTTGTACGAGGAACTTGCGGTGTACGAACGAAAATCGAGCAGATGAGACCGTTGGAAAGATGTTTGATTTGATAGAAGTATTGCTCATATCAGACAATAGAACTGGAAAGTCATGCTCGACTTTATGGAAATGCAAGTGCTTTTAACTGTCAACTGGTACACTTGATCATGAAAGTATACCATTTATATTGAACAATAGTAATTCCCTAACATTAGCGATCTTTTTGCGATGAAATACGATAAAAAAAATAGTGTTTTTGTATCAGACCGTTTTCAGCAGACACAAAAAGTGTGTCGCGATGTTATGCGATGAACGTATATAGTCGGCGTAGTGTTACAGAAGTCTTACACAGTTGCTTTTTACGGTCAATGTTTACAATTGCCGTAGTATGCTGTAAAGAATCATGTACGCCTGTTGTAAACGGCCACCGCAAAGGGCTGACGTATACGATGCCTTACATTGTTTTCTGACCAAAGTATACAGCCATCGTATTGTTATGGTAGTGCTTTATGATGAACTTTCACGAACACTGTGTACGGTTGCCGTAATATGCTGTAAAGCATCGTTTACTGCTGCTGTAAATGGCTAACGTAAACAGTCGCCGTTATTCGCCATGTTTGGTCAGTGAACGACCGTTTACAGCCGAGCAGGTTTGATCTGGGTTGCTTTATTGCATTCGTTTCGTATGTTAATACTTAGTATTGTCGTCAAGATTTTACATGAAAATGTTAAGTGATTCTATTGAAATATACGCGCATTTTTTTATACAACTAGTAGCTGGCAACTGTTTAGATCGTTTTTTCATTTATTTAAAACGTGTGTTTGTTTAGTACAATCTATTTTTAAATCTTTAAAAAAAGATATACCACCACGACAAGGTGCAGGCTTCTTCTTTTTAACAAAATATCGAGACATATATATACGTATATTCGTCTATTCGTCAATGGGAATTATTACTTATCAGTATTTTTCATATGTTTATAATATGAACAATTTTTTAAGTGGGCACAATAGAAGTTTTTCTCTACTTGTCTTCAGGTTTTCCTTTCTTGAGGACACATAATCTTATGGTTGTAGATGATCCTTATAACCTTGTACAAGACACATTTTACGCAAATAAAGTTTTCAATATAATAATAATATTACCAAAACATTCTTTGTCATTATTACCAAATCAACAACCAAAATCACGAACCGACAACAAAAATCAGTTTTTTAAATTCTAATTCGGTCTTTTTTCGAAAAATTTAAAATTTACTCCGATAATTGTATCATGCATCTATGTTTTTACAATTTTACCAAATCTACCTCAATTTATATTTTATATGCATAAACGCAAATGACTACCAAAATTTAGAAAAATCAGTATTGTAGTAACTTTATTATTCACCAGTCTTATTATTTATTACCTTAATTACTTTTATTCTTTGAATATAAGTCCAAAATCAAGTTATAAACAATATAGAGTAACTGGAGGTAAATGTATAGAAAAAAATAGTAAACTTCGGTATATTTTTCTATACATTTACCCCCAGTTACTCTATATCTCCTTTTATGACATATCAAGCCGTGTTCTCATAGCGATATAAGATCAATTTATAGATGTTTCACTACTCTACACTGACCAAAGAAACAATTGGTTACCTAACTGCATGTAGTTTAAGTGATTTTTCGAATTTGAAAAGAACAAAAGTGTTTTAAAAACATGGCAACATAACACACAAGTACTCATGAATAATGTGATTGAATTTTACAAAAAAACGTTTTGTCAGATTCTTTTTCCGACGTACCTACATGACATTCATTAATGATAGTCAAAAAATTTCACGTAATTACAACGCAAATCTCATACTTTTTTTTTTGCACAAGATACCTACTGTCCATGTATCATTTACAGTTGCTATTCTACACAAAAAGCAATTTTTTTTTGAACCCAAAAAAAAACGATGGCGAAAATGAATTAGATGTCTTACCTTTTTGCGACAGTGCTTCTGAAATTTAGTCAAAATCGGTTTGTTTTCCTATTTAAAATTTTCACGATATTTTTTATATTTACTAATTTGTTTAAAAAAAAGGCCCTTTCACATTAAAATCGACTTCACAGAAAGTAACTATAGAGGAAAATGATGTCATTATTTTACTAAATAATGCACACTATTTATAGACCGCCTTCCTTTGTCGAACTGTAAGATATTTTCTTAACAGAAAGCAAACAAAAAGAAAAAAACTTGGCGCACAATGCTGAATTACCTAGCACATAAAAAAAGACAGTTTATGAGCGTGTTACACACTTAACTGTTCGATTTCTGTTTTTGTCTTAAACACAGAGGGCTGCACAAATACGAGTACATTTTGTACTCTGAACTGGATATGACTCTCAAAAATTCAGAATTCAAGATTTCACTACATCAAATTCATCCGCACAGCCGCACTCAAGAATTATTTCAATCACTCTCACCCACACTCACTCCCCTCCAGAACGCAAAATTTAAGAATTCGTTCCATGTACTGGCATACACTGTCATTATACATGTCACTACATAAGGCAATGATAATACAAATTGTACTTCTACTTGCATATTTGTATAAAAGTTATAACACAATTTTACCAGAGTTGACTATGGTCTGGTAAGGTCTAGCAAGATCTACTTAGGCTTTCTAGGGTCTTTCCAGTCTTGCTATGAATGTGTGTCTGTTTCCATCCTCACCTTCATCCTCAGGGAAGAAACTGCGTGTGTATGTACTTTCACTCTCATCCTCAAGAAGATCCTAATAGACCCTAGTAGACCTTAGCAAATAGTATCAAAAGTATTGGTAAATGTGATGAAAACTGAATTAGTTTAAAAGTCATTATTTTTGAATTACTTCATAATTGATTTACGTCATCCAATGTATTTGTTAGAAGGTCTGTTTCATACTGAAGACGTTTTCGTGCTTTGGATTTTCTACCGCATTAAGATAACGGATGCAAGTCTCACGTCACTTACATTTATTATGTGTATGATTGATGTTATCTGTGGTACGTCACGCTGTTCAGAATATTTCTACGGGTGACAACACCAAAACTGCGGTCGATCGATAGATCCGCAAAGTCACCCAGGAATGCTTCTTTTTGATAGCTCGCATGTTGTAAAAACATGATTAACAAAGCTACAGAACATAGAAACTCGAAATTGAGTCAAAGAAGAAAATTATGTAAGAACGTGAACTACTAGTATTTAGCTACCAAACTGAAAAGGTTTTTAGACAATTGATTAGGCTTAAAACGAATTGATAGTAGATTGTACCACAGTACATGGAATGAATTCTTGAATTCTGGACTCTGGAGCCCTATACATATAGTTGTGAGAGTACATGTTATCGCAGTATATGGGTACGTGAATACATGAGTGAATAACAGGACAAATTGTACTTGCACTTGCGTATCTCTCTTTTGACCCTAGTTCCAACCATAATTCTAATTGCAATTACTATAAATCACATTTATATTTTTAATTCGTACTGGATATTCTTTAGATATAACTCCTGTTTGAGTTGTGACTAGTCTTGATTATATGATGAATAGTCAAATTATAAATAGGACTAAATTTTAATTACGACTATTTACGATATGTACAGAATGAGAAAGGATACAGAGATAGAGAGAAAATTAATGGAATGCGATTCACTGTTAAAACAACAACATATAATTATTCATCA